TTCCATACTTTTATGTATTTTACGATAAAAAATAATTTTCTTTTTACTTATATCACAAATTATGGTTTACCTTTTTGTATTGTAAGAACTTATAATGGAATATATGGTTCTATTTAAAAAAATTTGTAATAATTTCATTTGATTAAAGAAAAAGAATTTTGAATTTTCAACTACAATCATCTACTTTTAGTTGTAAATAAATAAATTTTAATTCAAAACATTCTCTCATTATATTGTCTGAAATCAATTGTTATTAAATGCAACAACTTTGATCATACGTATATTAAGAATTTTATGAAATATTGTATATGAAGTTTAAAATATAAATTGCAATAATGGAAAAAATTGGAGGTAGATTATTATTAGGGAAAAAGTAATTGATTAAAATTGTAACTACACAGTGTGTCTTAGCATAAACCGAACACGTAAATATCTCCTTCGTTTTTAATGATATGGGAAATGTTTAAAACACATTTTGAATGGATTCGAAGAAGGAATACTGTGGATGGAAACTTTTATTACGATCAGTTTCTTTCAAAGTTTCTCAAGGTTACCAGTATTTTTTTGTTTAGGAAAGCATATACTTTTTTGTATTGCATCTTGCAGCGGTGTTAACGGTTGAACACCAAAAAGGTTATCAAATTCCAAAGCAGTGTTAAGATGGTATGTGAATTTACTGTTTATGTTAATAAATACTTAAAGTGATATTCACCGTCGGCGATACATTGTCTAAAACGAATAATCATGGATTGTGTTGCTCTTTTAATTATTTCTGGAGTAATAGCAACACATCATGTCTTCTGGAATGATAGGTTGCTGTGGACAAACGCTGAATGTATTGAGTTACTGTCTTAGAATTAGATGAACTTTTTCGTATGCAAAGTCACCTCAAGTTCATTAATTCAAAAAAAAGCCATTAAATTTTTATTGTAAACATTTTTTTATATCTACTATAGTTTTAAAAATGTACAGGGAAATAAGGTAACACTAATCTTCATTCAAGGGCTGTTTTCACCCCGAAGAACTGAAAGAAGGGCAAAAAAGAATTGCCCGATACTTCTCTTGAGGTCCCCTACAAGCCTGCAAAGTTTCAAAAAAATCGGAATTTTCGGGTTACCAAAGTTCCCCTGTCAGTCATACTTGAATGTATTTTAACCCCAGCTACAAGGTGTTATAGAAAAAAGTATGTGCTTTCCTGTAAAAAAAATACCGATGTCCTTGAGAAAATAAGAAAAAAAAGTGATCGTAAAAACAATTTTTCTTTCACAGTATTTCTTCTTAGATACCATTCAAATTGTGTGTTAAACATTTCTCGTAACATTAAAAACAAATGAAGATATTTCGATGTTCTGCTTATATTGGGATACCCAGTATGTAGGGTACCTTTTGTAGCCGAGGCACCCCTATGCACTAGCGACTACTTGCCAAGCGTCTTAAAACCGGGCAATGAATGAGAAAACTAATTGGGCAACTTGAAAATTGTCAGTATCGCAGAGACCATCAAAGTCTCTATTGCCATAATTATAGAGTACTGTAAAAAGAATAATAATAAGAAGAAGAAATAATATTGGATGCACCATTTAATGCAACAAAGGAATGTTTGCTGCATGTTTCAAAGATGCAAAAAAAATTGTGAAATATTTTCAATAATGTTGTTGTTGTTGTCTTTAATTTACCGGCATCGACTGCTGTTGGTCATTAGCCGGGGACCTACTGTTTAAGGTGGGTTCCGAACCACCGTTCAATAATGTGTTTTTCAATTTTTTAAGCATGTCAATAAAATCATTTGATGCTTTGTTAAATATATTAAGATCATGAATAATCGGCAACGATACAAATATGAGATCTGGGAGGACCTAGGTGGACCTTGTTTGTACTTTTAGTAGTGCTCAGATAACATTCAGGAACTTTGTCTGGATTATTCCTGTCTTTTCGATGAAGCGCATTCTTTTCCCCGAAAGTTGTGTCTATTTGAATCAATACACCTCATTAGTTGCGGCGACTGGCTGCTCTCCTATGCGTCGCTTGTATTTTCGTAGACGCTAGCGATTTGCTATACAGGGTATTCAGCTACTCCTAGAAGAAAATTTAATGAGTGATTCTAAAAACCAAAATAAGACAAAAATCAAGAATAAAACAATTGCGTTTGAAGCTTCATTTTTTAGTTATTAATGTTTAAAAATTTTCCTGTAGCCGAGTAAACCTCCCTGCATCAACGCAAGGGTAGTACCACAGAAGTCGGTAATGTCGTTTGCAGCGCCCAATGTCACTGCTTCTCTACGACTTGTTCGTGATAAGGTGCCAGCTATATATCGTTGGTTTTGAGGATCACTACTATACGTACCCTCCGTGCCTTGACGTTCCATATATTCATCGATGCAGGGAGGTTTATTCGGCTACAGGAATAATTTTAAACGTATAATTAAAAAACGTAGCCTCAAAAGCAATTTTTTTATTCTTAGTTTTCGTCTTATTTCGGCTTCTAGAATCACTCCTTAACGTTTTTTCAGGGGTAACCGAACATCCTGTATAGTTACGCCGACTTCATGCGTAAGCTCTCATATATTTTTCTGCACCTATAGTAGTTGCCAGTGCGTAAGAAGTCTTAATTACCAGTAGTGATTTTTGTATTTTAAATTAAACATACTTATTGGAAACTAATTTAACATCCATGCATAAATTTTTGAAATAATAAAAATATTAAGAAATATTATGAAAGTAAATCTATTTTAGGTAAATTTAAAATCTGCTGGAAGAAAACGATTTGCTCATTTAAGTGCAACACAAGATGAAATTCATGTAGATGCACCAGTTCCTTGGGGAGAGGATACACTTTTTACTTTAGAATTTCGTCCTTCTTCAATAGAAGATGATGGTCAAGAACATTCTAAGTTTGAAGGTGGTTACTATGCTCTACACACTTGTAATAACAAGTATTTAGCGCGTGATGGAAAACTTTTGGATTTCTGTACACGAGATTGTCTTTATGCTGCTGAATTTCATGCTGGGTTACTTGCATTGAGGTTAGTTTTACTAATATCTTTTTTTATTATATCATGATATTGTTACAATGTTTCTTTCATAGATGTTACTATAAGAATCATTTAATTTGTTATATTCTATTATAGTTAGTAAAAATCAATATTATGATATGACAAACTTAAAGTAGTGTAATAATAATATTGTAGGAATATTTTCAAAAATATACAATACAATTTGTATTATTCTACAAAGGATAAAATGCTCTTTAGGTGAATCTACACTTTTGGATTGGTAAACATTTATTAGAAAATACTTTTTGAATTTTGAGTGTAAAAAACTATATATTTTAAATGTTTTTATACAGTAATTTGTTAATGTTTTTGTAATTTATTTAAATTTGAACT